TGCGGGACAGGTAGTCCCTAACTCTTTTTGAACCCAGCCCCCCTGCTACTGTGCTCCCCTTCCCCGCGTCCTTTCCCGCGTCGCCCCGCGTTCCCCGCGGTGACCCCGCAGGGCAGCCTAGAGCTGAGTTTACCGCACCCTCAGGGTTGGAGTCGAGACCTAGGGCACCAGGCCTAAGGACCCTCGACCTGCTTTGGGGCCCAGCGAGGCCGCTACGACCACCTAGAGGCAGGGAAGGGGACTAGCCCTCGCCAGCGTCACGCCAAGGGACCCCCGCAGAGTGGGGAGGACCCTGCACCCAGGAGCTGAACTGGTCTGAGGCCAGGATCGCCAATGCGAGGGCCGTGGCGGGAGGGGGCAAACGGGAAGCCAGCTCACATCATGTTTCCCAGATGCCAGGATTTGTCTGGCGGTTGTCCTCCAAGAGAGGAAAGTGGAGTCATGGAGCCTCTCACAGGAGCACACGGATCCACTCAGAAATCCCTCCGTGTGCTGCCTGAGTGCTGCCGGAAGCTCGGACCAGCCACTGGGGGAGCAGGCTCCAGGGTGTCCTGAGGTTGCCGAGGTGGATGGCAGAAGTGTTGCAAAGCCGACACCATTAGCAAGGGGTCCAGGCGGGAAAAACAAGGAATGGAGAGGGGCAGCTGATGCGGCTTCAGAGGAAGGGGTGGTGGAGCTTGGGACTTGAGTCTTGAACACCGTATCAGGGATTTGGGGGACACTGTTGTGCTGCGATGGGGCCAGGAGAAGGGAGGACCGGGTCCAGGGTCCAGGAGCTCCTGGGCAGTGCCCTGATCCCTGACCTCTGATCCCAGACTTGGTGTGAAGAGGTCCCTCGGTGCAGAGTGGCCCAGCCCCTGTAGGGCCACAGCCTTTGCTGGCTACCACCCAACCCACCTCACCCCCAGACCCTGGGCTTGAGGCTACCCCTCCCCTGGCCCCCAAGAGCCAATGGAGAAAAGGGCCTGGACTTCCACTCAGCCTGATTCTGGTGGCCCCTCTGCATCTGCAGAGGCACCTCCCTCCTGGTGGCCCAAGTCCTTGAAAGCCACCCCCCCCCCCCCCCCCCCCCCCCCCCCGCCGCGGGGGCCATAATGGCTTGACTAGCCTAGTGCTGCTGCTTCCTGGTCTAGAGGGCCCTGCAGAGTGCTGGGACGAGGTGGGGAGGAGGCAGCCAGACTCAGCTTGCAAGGGGCAGAGCTGGACCCCAGGGACAGCCACCTGGAAGGTGTTGGAGACATCATGGCCTGGGCTTTAGCACTCTGAGTAGGGGTGGCCTTAAAGGGAAGCCTGCACAGGCTGCAGAGTGCTCCCAGGCCCGCCAATGAGCCCGTTTCCTCCCGGGTGACGTGAGGGTGCCCCCTGTGCACCCTCTGCCCGCATGAGGAACCCATTTCACAGACAAAGAAATCAAGGGTCAGCGAGGTCGGGCCAGTCTGTTCTCCCCGCCCATTTTCCCGGGCACCCCTCTGGCTGCTGCTGCCCGGAGTCTCCTCCCCACCCGCAACGCCAAGGCTGCCCCGACCACCTGCAGTCCCACCACGAGCCCCTTGGGTCTGGACACTGCAGTCAGAGCTAGGCAGGGGCCCAAGGGAGGTGGGGCGTGCGGGGGGGGGGGGCGGACCCCTCCCAGACTCCAAAAGCTGCAGGGGGAGGGCGCCAAACACCGGATGGTGCATTAGCAGAATAGTCCTCACCCCAGGTGAAGGGACCCTTGGGTCCATCTGGGGGCAGACCCACGTCCTCCGGGAATGTGGCAAGGGCCAGCCGGTCCCTCCCTGCGGGGGGAGAACTAGGGACTGAGCCTGAAGCTTCGCTGGCAGTCAGAGGTACAGGGGCCTGGGAAGCGACAGAGGTGGGTGGGAGTGCTGGAGGAAGGCCAAGGGGTCTCCAGGGAAGTGAACCAAAAGACCAGGGGGTAGGAAGAAAAAAAGAAGAAAACCAGACGAGATGGGAAGTCCGTGTGCAACTGACGGGCGCTGCCCCAGGAGAAAAGGGGGTGGGGCGCAATAGTGATTATTGTTATTGCCCCAAGCTAAGGGACTGAGTGCTGAGTGAAGCCCGCCCAGCACCCTGCGTGGACCTCAGTCCCCAGAGCTGCCTAGGTGGGGAGGGAACAAAGCTCCCGACAGGCACCGGTTGCCAGCAGCCGGAGGCAGGTGGACCCAAACTGCTCAAGCTCCTCGCCCGAGTTCATGCCCCAGCACCCATCCTTCCCTTGCACACAGGTTCAGTGAGTGCCCACCCTCTACTGGGCCCTGAAAAGAACAAAGCCCTGTTCTGAGGCTTTCCAATCCAGTGAGGGAGGGGCAGGAAATAAACTAATGAAAGAGAGGGACACTGGGACAAACCAACCAAAGTAAGGTGCTGTAAGGGACTCAAGACTGAACAGGTCAAGGAGGAGGCCAAGTGGGTGACTCCATGGAGTGGTGACAGCCTGTGCAAAGGCCCTGAAGTCGGAAGGGCCATGAATTGAACACGCAAGCAAAAGCTGTCTTCAGACGGGCCAGCTCAGAAAGTTCGCTTACCACAGTGCTTTCTAGAAGATACTTGAAGACATGCAACGTGGAGGATGACGCGAGGTCTAGGAGGCAGGGCTCTAAACCAGGGGCTCTACCCCTTCAGGGCAGGCAGTGGGCAGTAGGAGTGCCCAGCTGGCTGGGAGCAGGAGGGCAAGGGCCTGGCAAGGGGCAGAGGAGTGACTTGAAGGTGAGGATGTGACAACGGCAGACAGCACTGAGACACTAAGGCAACATCAAGCCCAGAAAACACAAAAGCTGTCGTAGAGATACTTCATTTCCAGTTCACTGCTTAGGGGAGAGTCATGTTTACACACAGTCGTGGCAAGTGCTCTTGATGGACTCTGCCTCAGATGCGCAGGAAAGCCACGTCCCAGCTCCGGGACGGCTGTTAGCCTCGCAAGACTAAACTCGCAAGTTGTCCGTGCCGACTCTCCCCACCTCCACTCCCCGCCACGAAACCTCCATTCAGGCCTTCCCCACCCACAACTGACCCTGTTCTTACCAAGGTCAACAACGACCGGTGTTTGTTCTGGTGGTCCAGAACCAGGCTTGGCCCTCGCTTGACCTCAGCAGCACGTGACACCTTGACCCCTCCTTTCTAACCAAAGCCCTCACCTGTCTCAGGGCTCTTCCTGCCTCATGGCTGCCCCCTCTCCTCTGGGGCCCCTCATCTCTCTTCCCTCTTGGCGCTCACCTCTGCTCTGGCCGCCCCCAGGCCACAGGGTCTCGGCCAGCACCTGTGTTCCTGACCTTCTCTCCCCAGCCCCTTTCCCAGGCACATCTACCCAGTTGCTCCCTGGACCTGTCACCTTGAGGGGTCCAGAACATACCCCAAGACTAGCATGGCAGGCACAGCAGCATCCTGGCCCCTCCACCTGCCACTCCAGGCCCTGTCTGCAGGGCTCGGGCCCCTCCTTCCTCCCCAAGGGTGCTCCCAGGAGAGGCTTTCTGAGACAAGCCCTTGGCCGTCCTGACCTTTCACAGTTAATAGAAACCCCAATTTGTGCCAGGGCTTGTGGCTGCCCACAAAATACAGGATGCCCAGTTAAATTTAAATTTGGGATATATGAATAACTTGTAGTATAAATATGTCCGAAATATTGCACGGGACGACATGCTTCTACTTAAAGAGTACTTACACTAGAAGTACTTTCTATACTGAAAAGTACCCGC